ATTTTGAGAATGAGGGCAACAAATGTATAAGTGTGCTTTACACAATTGATGTATGTATGGATTGTGATGAGTTGTATGAGCCCCAATAAGATGATTATTAAAAAAAAAGAGCCTATCAGTAAACTAACGGATAGCGTGTAATGCACACGGCACTGCTGTTACCTTTCCTGCTAAATGTCTGTATAGGCTCTTAGGAAGAGAGCTCCAGGCCAGGCCACCCTGTCGACAGGCCACCCTGGTGCCCTGTTCTGGGTTTGCAATAGTGTCGCTATTGGACATCTTTCGTCAGGTCTCCACTTTTATAAAAACCCCGACTTGTTGCTGTCCAGTGGATTCTGACTGACAGGACCCTATGTGACGGAGAGCTGCCCCAGAGGGTCCCCAAGGCTGTGATCTTTATGGAAGCAGACTGCCTCCCACTTCTCCACAGAGAAGCTGGTGGTCTTGAACTGCCAACCTTGGAGTTAGCAGCGGAACCCTAGTCTCTGTGCCACCAGGGCGCCTTTCCACGGCTGTGGATATGGTGGGGCAGTCCTCGCCCTCCATGGAGCCCTTTGTGCCCCTACCCAGTTTCATCTTTCTCTAGCTGCCCTACGTTCCTTGGCGAGTGAGAGGCTCCAGGGGGCAGAGGCTTTGTAGGGTCACACAGGCCTCACCATGACATCTGTGCTGCTAGGCTGTGCTGAGTGACGTGGGTCTCTGGGTGTGATTCCTTGTCCCGTGTGCAGTTAGTTGTACCTCTAAGGAGGGTGTGGAGGGAGCGATGCTACTGTGCTCAGCATAGGTAGCCTGCCCACGTGCCCTCCCCAGCCCCTGGTGATCTAGACGCTGGTCAGTACTTGAACCTTGTTACTCTTGCTGTCCTGGAGGGGACATGCCATTTTCATTCGCCTTTTCCTGGAGAAGAAGGTGTGTGCGAATGCGCTGATCGGCTGTATGTAACGTGGCGAAGGTCCATGGCGTCTTGTCAGAGCCATCGTCGGGAATCCCTCTAATCACGTGAGTTGCTGGGGCCACTTGGCGGTGGCATGCTAACTTCTATTGCCCTTTGCAGGCCCCTCAGCCAGAAGAGCTCAGAGATGGAGTACATCAGCAAGTACCGGCAGCTGGAAGCACAGGAGCTTGACAAGTATGGCAGTGCTCAGTCCAGCAGTGGGCCAGGTGAGGGGCGCCTCTGTATCCTCGGCGGCTGTGGGGTTGGGCTGGTGGCACGCTCAGACCTTCAGTTCTTCAAAGCATGTAGGCGCTGTTGTAATTTGGTCACTTCAGGAATTCATACAGCCTCTGGTAAGTGGGGCAGTGGTTAAAGATTGGTGGTTCTCGAGAGGAATTACTGAAACCCAAATGAAGGCTGAGTATGATAGTGGGACAAGAGGAAAGTAAAAGGAAATAGAGGAAAGAAGTAGGAGGCAATGGGCATTTATAGAGGTCTAAATAAAGGCATGTACATATGTAAACATTTATATACGAGGATGGGGAAATACATCTATGTGCATATATTTATAGGTTTAGTATTAAGGTAGCAGATGGACATTGGGCCTCCACTCAAGTACTCCCTCAATGTAAGAGCACCTTGTTCTATTAAACTGATGTTTAATAGATTTCATGATGTTCACCTTCCCAACATGATCGCTGAAGACAAAGCGGGTGCATAAGCAAATATTGTGAAGAAAGCTGATGGAGCCCAGCTCTCAAAAGATATATAGTGTCTGGGATCTTAAAGGCTTGAAGGTAAACAAGTGGCCATCTAACTGAGAAGCAACGAAGCCCACATGGAAGAAGCACACCAGGCTGTGTGATCATGAGGTGTCGATAGGATCAGGTATCGGGCATCAAAGAACAAAAATCATATTATTGTGAATGAGGTGGAGTGGGGAGTGGAGACCCAAAGCCCATCTGTAGGCAACTGGACATTCCCTCACAGAAGGGTCTCGGGGAGTTGACAAGCCAGTCAGGGTGCAGTATAGCAGTGATGAAGCATACAACATTCCTCTAGTTCTTTAATGCTCCCCCCCCCACTATCATGATCCCAATTCTCGTCATAAATCTGGCTAGACCAGAGGATATACACTGGTACAGATGGGAACTGGAAACACAGGGAATCCAGGACAGATGAACCCTTCAGGACCAGTGGTGAGAGTGGCAATATTGGGAGGGTGAAGGGAAGGTGAGGTAGAAAGGGGGAACCGATCACAAGGATCTCCATACAACCCCCTTCCTGGGGGACGGACAACAGAAAAGTGGGTAACAGGAGACGTCGGACAGGAAGATATGACAAAATAATAATTTATAAATTATCAAAGGGGAGGGAGGGAGGGGAAAAATGAGCTGATACCAAGGGCTCAAGTATAAAGAAAATGTTTTGAGAATGAAAATGTACAAATGTGCTTGACACAATGGATGTATGTATGGATTATGATAAGAGTTGTACGAGCCCCCAATAAAATGATTAAAAAGAAAGATTGGTGGTCAGACTCGCCAGCTGCTCTGTGGGAGAAAGACGAGACTGTCGGCCCGCTCGAGTGAGGGTCTCTAGTCTCAGAAACCCACAAGGCGGTTTGTCTTAGAGGGAGTTGGAATCAACTCAATGACAGTGGTGTGTAAGATGGACGGTTACAGTTTTACTCACCTGTGGTTCTTAAAATGCCTGTTCCTTGGAAGATTAACAGCCCCTTGCCTGTTACTTCAAACTACTTAAAAGTTTTTATTAAAAAGAAATATTAAAGAAGTTTTTTTTTAAGAAAATAAACATCCAAAACCTCACCAAACCCACCACCATCCAGTTGAGCCCCTTTGGGGATCTTTAGATCTGTGCATCTTTATGGGAGCAGAAAACCTCATCTTTCTCCTGAGGAACAGCTGGTAGGTTTGAACTGCTAACCTTGCGGTTAGCAGCCCACCTTGAAACCTTTTAAGCCACCAGGGCTCCTTAACAAATATAGTACAAGAAAATCCTAAATAAAGTCTGAAAAGAACCCAACCCACTGCCATTGAGTAAATCCTGACTCCTAGTGACCCTGTGTAGGATTTCTGCTATGGACAGCAGGAAGGCGCCACCTTCCG